CTAGGCCTGTCCAAATTCACAGCCGTTAACATCCGGTCTACTCGGCCGACGGAGGACCCAGCCCACAAAGGATGCAGACCCTGAATTGAGACACAGCGACAATGTCATTGTGAGCCTGTGTGTGTGTGTATTTGTTAGTGGCTCCGCCCTCTCGGTCTGCTAGGCAACAGCATTTGTTGCATTTTTCAAACAGGAAGTGGGAGTGGAGTAAGATCTGGTAGGGGGTCACTTGCTCTTTAAACTAATCCTACATTTACTTGCTGATTTAAAATCAGTCTCAGCTTCTAGGCACAAACAAAAATCTGACAATAAGAAACAGACAAAAGGTAAAAAGTTAAAAGCAACAACTGATTTATCTTAAATCTGTGTCTGCTCCTCTGTTTCTAGAAACTGTACATCCCCAGAATTTAGGTGTGAAGGAAAAAAAATAATAAAAATTTCTGAAGAACATCTGATGCGTGCAGCTACAGAACACTACGTTCCTGGTTTCATATTTTATGCAAAGCCCAAAAAGTAATCTGGGACTTAGATCTGAAAAAAAATCTGAACTATGGCAGAGCATGAACTTACTTTGAAAATCACTACTTCATGTTAAACATCTTCCTGTTTGCACTTTGATTATGTCTTAAGAACAAAACAAGTCGAGTCATTTATACAGTTGCCCTCACCTTAACAAATCAACTGGTGGTCTGAATCTGCCGTTATCGGCGGAACCAACGACTCAACGACATGTTTTAGGTCAGTGAACGCACCGTTTATGAGCAGCAATAAAATAAACGCTACAGGAGCTCTTAAATGGTGCCAGATTTACGGGGGCAGCCATGATGGATTAATGGTGCTATCAGCCATTCCTCTGAATCAGATGGACCGGTGGGGGTGGGGGGGGGGGGGCACGGCACCATGCTGTGTGTGTACACTTCTGACATATCCACAATAAATAACACAGGTGGGAAAAAAACTCTTTCTACAAAAATTTTTGAAGCTCAGAAATATTGAGTCAATGAAAGTTTGTGTGTTTGCACTCCAGGAGGAATGACAACGTTCAGATTAGTGGTCCACCGATTCTGCTGTTTCTATTAACAATACCGATGCCGACATGCAAGAGACGCTCAGCCGATGGCCGACGTACACAGGGTATATACAGCAATCCTTAAGTAAAATTTACTACGTTTTAATACCTTTTTTACTACCTTCAAAAATTTTTAAAACCATCACAACACTAAATTGCAAGTGTTAATCAGCGACCTATTTACACATATTTTAACATATATAACATACAAAAAGAATAGACTTAGAGACTCACTGATGTTGACAACGTATTGCACATATTTATTTTACTTAGAAAATAAGCCAGGCACTTCTGTTCAGCGGTTCAGACAGTTGACCACGAGGCCTGAAATGATGCAGAACGACCACTGAATATGACGTCATCATTATGTGACCGGATATGCTAAAGTAGGGCTGCTCGATTATGGCAAAAACAATAATCACGATTATTGTGACTGAAATTGAGATCTAGATTATTTAAGACGATTTTTCAATTTATGTAGATTTTTATTTTTTTATTCAGTCATAAAATTGCTCAGGGCACAATCAGGGCAAAAATAAACAAGAAACAAGATGATCACTAAAATAACTCCTGATTCCCAGTATAAAAAGGCCAATATACTTATAGCTCATAGTTTATGACCCAAGGGCTATAGACCTTGGTTTAACTCATTTAAGTCTAACCAGTACAGACCCAAATACCAATATCTTGCAAATACTGACAACAAGAATTATACAGTGGCATTTATAACAAATAAATTGATGTTCACAAAATTTTGCATAACATTTATTGAAGTCGTGTCAAGGTGCTGTAGGAGAGTGCACTAGCAACGTGTCCTCAGAGAGATTAGTTATCAGCGTGAGGAACTTATTTCTACCTTATTTATAAACTATTTACTTACAATTCCATCAGTTAATGTAATAATTGTCCCAACCACAGCTGCACTCCCCCACCCCCCAACCCGGTCTCAGCAATCGGGGCAAGCTGCACGTGGGTCTGAAAAGCTGCTAGAAATAGCGTCAAAGTCGCTAAGTACGCAACACTGTGGAGGAGCGCTTCATTTGCAACTCAGGGCAGCGCAAGTGGGAGGAGCAAATAATCGGCTTGTTTTGTTTTTATAATCGTTCAAAACATTTCATTCGGAATATATTTCTATGTCGATGTTCAGAATACGACACCAGATAGTCTGAAAAAAAAACTAATTTGGAAAAAATAATACCTCTGAGACCAAATTTAACACTTTTAATGGCCTTAAATTTGACTGTTTTTATTCATCACTTTTTAATACTTTTTAAAACCCCGCGGACACCCTGGTACATTTCTGAAAGTGAATTAGTTTGTGAACTGAATTTAACTGTTAAATCTTAACTTTGTGCACTGCTCTGAGTTAAAGTCAGACACCTAAATAAAGTTGGAGTATTTTTTATGAAGAGGTTATTAGTGGACATAAAATACATTTAAATGAAATTCTGTAACAGCACCAGGCTGCCCGACTTTACTGAGGTCTAAGGACAAATATCGGCCCAATATATCGGTCTACCCTCAGTTCAGCTGTTTAAACTCTAAAACAAAGTGTCATGTTTGTGAGTAAAGGTTTGTAAACAACAAATCTACAATAAAAATAAAAGTACGCAACATCATCACACTAAAACTATCGCGGTCAAATCTCCATGAATCACAACTCCAGTGGCAGGGAAAGCAGACCAAAACCACAAATCAATTATAGCTAATAAAATGAAACCTACTCAATATTAATGGGAACCGAATTCGGTACTTTTTAAGGCACCGACCGAATTCCATAGTACCGACCGAGCACCGATTCACGTCATTTCAAACGGTGCCTCGTTCCGGTGCCCGTCCTTCTTAACGAGAACTTGCCAAGACAGCTGCGCATGCGCAAGAGCGTTATGTCGTCGGCCACTGCGAGCGAGTTGTAAACAGAGCAGCATGGTAGAAAGAACGCACGCTAAAGCTTGGGTCCACTTCACCAAATGTGATGGGTAACTGGGTGATGATGAAACCAGCGACAGACAACGATCTAAGTGAGACATCCTCATCTTAATCTGCTCTGGTAGGTAAATAAAATGTTTTAGATAATGTTAGCTTGATATGTTACCTTCCGTTTCGCTAATGGTGCGTTCGCTTTCTCCTCGGAACTCCGAATTCCCGACTAGAAGAACATGAACGCACTCTAAAGTTTGGCTTCACTTTACTAAATGTGACGGGTGATTGGGTGAAGATGAAACCAGTGACAACGATCTAAGTGTGAGGCATCATCGTTTTAATCTGCTCCAGCAGTTAAATAAACTGTTTAAGATATCGTTAGGTTGATATGTTAGCTTCCATAGCTACCATTGTTATCAGCTAATGGAGCGTTCACTTTCTCCTCGGAAATTCTAACTTCCCAGTAGGAGAAATCAAAACGGCAAAAGGAATGAAGATACACAGTAAATTTAGTTCACAGTAAAGATGTTTGCTTCAGTTTAATTATCAGCTTATAAAACTACAAGGACGATGTTAAAATACAGTTGTATGTTATTTATCATGATATATATCAAATATTGTTATATATTGAGAAAAATATATATTTAATTATAAAAGAGAATTAAAATAATAAACACTCAAAAGTATCGAAAATTGGTACCGTTAAGTACCGGTATCGATTCGTAGGTACCGGGAATTAGTACCAGATCGATTCAAATGTCAAAGGTACCCATCCCTATGATAATTTAATGCATTGCAGAAACTTCATACTATGTAAATATCTAACAGCAGATTTCTTTGAACTTCTGGCTTATTTTTGGGAATTGCATCTCAGAAATACTTGGGAGTAGGGGTGAGTACCGAATTCGGTACTTTTTAAGGTACCGACCAAATTCCATAGTACCGACCGAACACCGATTCACGTCATTTCAAACGGTGCCTCGTTTCGGTACCCGTCCATCATAACGAGAACTTGCCAAGACAGTTGCGCATGCGCAAGAGCATTATGTCGCCGGTCCCTGCGAGCCCGTTGTAAACAGAGCAGCATGGTAGAAAGAACGCACGCTAAAGCTTGGGTCCACTTCACTAAATGTGATGGGTAACTGGGTGATGATGAAACCAGCGACAACGATCTAAGTGAGACATCCTCATCTTAATCTGCTCCGGTAGGTAAATAAAATGTTTAAGATAACGTTACCTTGATTTGTTAGCTTCCGTTTCGCTAATGGTGCGTTCGCTTTCTCCTCGGAACTCCGAATTTCCGACTAGAAGAACATGAACGCGCTCTAAAGTTTGGCTTTACTTTACTAAATGCGACGGGTGATTGGGTGAAGGTAAAACCAGTGACAACGATCTAAGTTTGAGGCATCATCGTTTTAATCTGCTCCAGCAGCTAAATAAACTGTTAAAGATAACGTTAGCTTGATATGTTAGCTTCCATTGCTACCATTGTTATCAGCTAATGGTGCGTTCGCTTTCTCCTCGGAAATTCTAACTTCCCAGTAGGAAAAATCAAATGAAAAAAGACGGCAAAAGGAATGAAGATACACAGTAAATTTAGTTCACAGTAAAGATGTTTGCTTCAGTTTAATTATCAGCTTATAAAACTACAAGGACGATGTTAAAATACAAACTTGTATGATATTTATCGTGATATTTATCAAATATTGTTATATATTGAGAAAAATATATATTTAATTATAAAAGATAATTAAAATAATAAACACTCAATAGTATGGAAAATTGGTACCGTTAAGTACCGGTATCGACTCGTAGGTACCGGGAATTAGTACCGGATCGATTCAAATGTCAAAGGTACCCATCCCTACTTGGGAAGTGATTCTTTTTGACACGTTTGACAATCATAAAGAACAAATAAATGAATCTGAATGAGTACATTAATGCAATAGAGTCATAAACTTGTATTCATGGCTTTTCATTTACACGTTTAGTGCATAAATATACTTACTCTGTTTTCTTTCTCTCCTTATTAACAAATATTTCATTGAGGTTGATGAACTTTTGACCCAGGAACTTGTCCATCCCCACTAAGGACCGATGCATGACTGTAAGGCAGAGCTCGTAGACTTCGGGGTTTCCCTCTAAAAGAAGACCAGGTAACTCAAACGAGGCCTCCTCTTTCCAGACGGGGTTGGTCGTCTTCTCCGCCACCGACGTGGAGTACTTTTCTTTGCCCAGTTGGATGATGGTGTAGGCGTCATTGGTGCCATTTTTGCCTTTGGACTGTAAACCAGTGGCTTGAAGAACAGTGGCTTGGACATGGGTAGGAAACCATTTCTGAGACTGAACACCCAGTGACATGTTGAGCACCGTTTTCAGCTGAAATCCATTCAAAACCAGTTAATATGTGATGGATGAGGGGATTTTAGTGGGTTTCATGGGTAAAAAAGAAGGAAGCAAAAATTAGGATTCACTATAGTTTGTTCTCCATGTTGGTGTGGTTTACTTTGCTATGGTAACAAGCAGGTCTGCCAAACAGAGCACGCTTCATCGTCTATCAAATCACAGATGTCCAAGCCACTGTTGAGTCATCTGTGAAAAATAGAGAAAGAAGCAGAGATGCATCAGGATATTTCTGAGAACTAGAACATGAGTCAGAACCGAAGCTGGGCTTGGACTGACAACAAATCCTGAGCAACACTCACATGGGTGTAAACAGACACATCAGAACGTTCACAAGGGGCCACCCCAAAACTCGAGAGTTGCAGGTTCGAGCCCTGTCGGTCTGTCATTGTGTCCTAGGGCAAGACACATAACCCGCCTTGCCTGTTGGTGGTGGTCGGAGGGACCGGTGGTACCAGTGATCAGCAGCCTTGCCTCTGTCAGTGTGGCCCAGATCAGCTGTGGCTACATCGTAGCTCGTCACCAACCGCATGTGAATGACTGATTGTGTTGTAAAGCACCTTGGGGGGTTGTAGAACTCTTGAAGGCGTTATATCAAGAACAAGCCATTTAATGGTAAATGGCTTGTTCTTGTATAGCGCCTTCTTAGGGTTTTACAGCTCCCCAAGGTGCTTTACAACACAATCAGTCATTCACCCACTCACACGCGGTTGGTGATGAGCTACGATGTAGCCACAGCTGATCTGGGCCACACTGACAGAGGCGAGGCTGCCGATCACTGGTACCACCGGTCCCTCCGACCATCACCAGCAGGCAAGGCGGGTTAAGTGTCTTGCTCAAGGATAGGACAGCAGCCTTCTCTGGTCAGAGCCGAGATCGAACCTGCGACCTTCCGATTACTGGACCAGCTCTACCTCCTGAGCGACTGCATTTACAAGGGTCCTTGATCCCATCACGTTGTGTCTCCAGTAAAGACGTTTGGAAAGTTTGAACTATTCTGAATGAGAGTTGGTCTGTTCCTATTCGCCCCATGAACTACAACACTCAAAATGTGTCCCAAACAAACTGATTCAATGTGTGTCCAGATGAAAGTTGACAGATTTTCTAGACATTTTCCCCAAACCCATTAAGATATAAGGGATGTGTGTATGGTAAAATCTACAATTAGGACCAAAATGACACAAATCGGAATTATTAATTATGCAATGTTGAGAAATGCTTAAACGCATGTTAATCCGTCCCACACCATAGCAGATTTAGGATTTTACTGAACTTTTACAGGAAGTCACAAGAACTGAGTCTCAGTTTGAAGCATTTGGAGTTTTTTTGATTGACGGCTTTTAATCCTGCATGAGATTATAGGTAAACAAACAGTTTAGTCTGTATGTCAACTTATTTTTGGGGTCTCAGAATATTAATTGTACAATAACAAAGATAAAACATATCAGTGGTCAATACATTAAAGCAACAATTAGGGCTACTCCTTCGAGCTTGAGACTTAATTACCAACTTGAAATTGCTGCGCTTGCCTCTCAAACAGACCTTTTTACTATATTTAATCATTTATGTTCGGTTTTTCTAGTCTGTGGTACTTGGCACTTTTGTTGAAGCAAGAGGTCTAGAAGTCATTTTCGTTTTGGAATAAGAGCAGCTGTTCAAAATTATCCAAATACTCAAAACACATGAAGTCTTTGCGCTATTATTACATATTATAGAAAGTCATTTAATTTGGAGGTCATTAAAATGCTTTGCTTTAAAAGCAGTCACACAGAGATGCATTGATAAATATTTTATCACATCACAACCCTCAGAATCATAATCAAATTATAATTATGAGTCGTCTAAATATTCTCACTGCTATGAGCTCCTGGGTCACAACATTCACGTTAAATCAAGTAATTGTATTAACCAATTTATAAGACATAAAGTCAAACAATTAAATGACCATTTAAAAAAAAAAGAGTAAAAACTTCCTTCTTTATGGAAATTAAACTATTCATATTTTCTACATTCTTTACTAAATTATGTTCATTTGAATTCCCCTCTGGGCTCAACAAAGGATGCTATATATTAATATTTGTCCCTTAAATTAATCAGTGGACTACAAACAGAACTGACTCAATATAATATATTTCAGGTTATAAATCAAAACCTTCAGTTTGTTAGATGTAAAACAAACACAGTTTAGATGACAGCCCAACACCGGTGCTGCTGTGAAAAGAGCCAGAGTGTCGTAAAAACCATAAATCTGTAATTGTCCTAATGAGCATCTGAATAAAGGTTTGTCACGACAAGGTTTTCACTACCACAAACAACTGTTGTTGCTAAGCAACTTAAACACTTTACCACAAAAATAAACTACGAGGATATGCGAAGTTCAGCTGTTCTTTTGGTTGGGCTAGAGGACAACGTTAGCATCGCGCGGCTAAAGCTAACACTGAACACACAGCATCCCCCCTCACGTGAAGCCTCTTACCTCGGCGTCATTCTCCCCGAAACTAAAAGGACACTCAGCTCTTCAGCTCAGCGGATAACGTTCCGGAAAACACATTAATGCGATATTTTCAGAAGCTGGAACGCCGAAAAATGCTGGTGGTTGTAAAGGCTGTTGTTGTAGCAGCCCAGCGCTGACGGACAGCAGGGACAGTTTCACTTCCTGTTTCGACGTCACTTCCTATTCACGCCGGTGACATTCCAGACATTCATGTAGGCAAAAAAAAAAAAAAAAAAAAAAAGTTGCCTTTTCTTTGGCTTTAACTGTGGTTAATGATTATTTAACAAAACTGCTTAATTCAGTGATCCAAAATGTTCCACTTATTTTTGTCAAACAGGGTCAACAGATTAGAGACCAAATTCTTATATAAGATGGTCTGCCAGACTATTAACAGATAGATCCCATTTCCACAAAACTCGAGTCTTCCACCAGTTATGGGTAAAATAAGTAGAAATCATGACTGGACAAAAACGGCCTTGTGGAAAGTACGGTAGACGTGTCCTCCATGTCCCTTAAGATTACGTCTGTGCATGTGTGTGATGGTTTACTTGGACAGAAGCCACTGCAATAAACTAAATGGCACGCTATACAAAGATTCAAATGGATATAAGCCATGGATTAATTCTAATTCTAATTTTAAAGAATTTATTACGACAACATTTCACATTCAAAATGCATGTTATCCATTAAGGTCAATAAAAATGAGGAAAATTTGGTCTACATGTCTATTTCATGCATGAAAATGTTTTTGCAAGCACTTGGATGGCTAAAAGCACAGTTTACTGTAGAAAATACTCCTGGAAATTTATTTGAGATAATGTTTGTCAACTGCAGACAGAGGTTGCATTGCAACGTTGATGAATTAGAGTCGTAAATAACACAAGCCTGAGGGAGTTATGGTGCGTTCAATTTACCTCAGAAGTCAGAACTCAGAACTGGGAATGACGTCACATCCTAGTTAACCGTGTTCTGGTTGCCGTAGTCGGAAAGGTCAGAATTCCAATATGGCAACGCCCTCAAAAATTGCTGTTTTGTTAGTTTTCAACCACAGATGACTAGTAAACACATATAAAGCTCATCTTCAAAAAATATTTGAAGAGAGAAACTTTTAGTTGCAAGCGCTACATGTAACATTAATCTTAAACACACTCTTATACCTGTGTCTTGTAAAATAAACACTTTTCAACCAAAACTTACTGTTGCTGATCATAGACATATATACGTAGACACCCCGTGGACTGGCGCGGCCTATTGGAGCTGCCGTTGTAGCCAGCCACCAATTTAGATGGGTCTCCAGTCACCCCCCAGGCTGCTGAGGAAGGGGCTTACCCAACTAAAAAACACATTTTATCAAGCTTTTTTACAAAATCAGACACAAGGTGTGGCATGATAATTAAATATAAATGTAATTAAACTAAATAAAACGAAATAAATGTAAATATAAAATCCTATCAGGTAGGCTAGAAAAGTCACTACTAATCCCACGAGATCAGTTTTCAATTGTACGCCAGTAGTTGTAACCGTAGGCTGCACAAAAACTGGCATTGTTACTCACTCTGCATTGACTTTGGAGTAAGGAGAACCATCCAATATGGCGGTGACGCTGTTACGCTCTCTAGTGCCCAATGGGGCATCTATGTATTCATGTTTATGTTGTTGATATGGAGAGCTGCCATTTTGGACGTCGAGGTCAGAGTTTTCGACTGGAAGGTCTGACTTTGGGGGCGTTTCATTTAGTTTTTCCTACTCTGAAGTCGGAATTTCTCGAGTTCAAAGGACAAATTGAAGGCACCAATAGGCCATGTAGTGAGGTTCCAAATGCTAACGGTTAGCTTACAACGTAGGATGTACGTCACTTCACCTAAAGGTGAGCTTTTAGCATGTAGGACAAAACCAGAGTATCCAGAGAAAATCCACCATGCATGGGGAGGATTTTATAACTCTAAACCACTCCAAGCCACTACTGGGATTTGAACATGTGACCTTCTTTTTGTGGTGACCATGACCTGTGACTGCAGTCTCTAAATCCAAGACCATGGTCTTGATTCGGAAAAGGGTAGAATGCCTTCTCCAGGTCAGGGAGAAGGTCCTGCCTAAAGAGGAGTAGATTAAGTATCTCGGGGTCTTGTTAACGAGTGAGGGAAAGCTGTGTATCTATCTGGCGTTCAGCCGTACGTGTAAGAACTGGAATGTATTTTTTTTTCCTTGAATTTTTTTTCTACCCTATCCCCAAGTCCCCACCTAGATCCCCACACGGGGCCCGCCGCCCCCACACCCCGAGCCCCCAGGTCCCCACCCAGACCTACTCAGAGGCAATGCAGCTGCCAGGCAGCAACCCATGGCTGCCGCCGAGACCCCCCAAGAGGACTTGGAATGTTAGCATTAGCCAGGCTAGCATTGTTTGGTGGCTGGCACACAATGATGTGGTGCTCTACTGCCACCAACAATTCTATATTGCTGATACTGAAGTGGGTTGGGACGTGCAAATTTAAGGGTGTGTGTCCAAGTGGACTACAGCTCCGATGACGCATTACTGCAGCTTTGTTTGGGTAGGGAGTCCTGGTCCTGTAGTGCCGATATCCACTGTAGCGTTATGAATCTTATAATGGTCTGCCCTTAACAGCTGCCCCTTCACACAGTAACATCACCAAGGTCGGACGCTTGGTTCAGTATGTTTACATTCCAGAAGAGACAGAAGAAGAGAAGAAGAACGCTTTCCTTTAATTAAAGTACTTTATTCGTGATAAAGCTAATCAGAGCATATGTTGATCATTAATAATCAGGTGAATGATCTGTGAAATAAAGATGTCATGAGTTATGTGTTTAATGAATAAACAGGACTGCACAAGACAGACTGATCTACATTACCATGGAAACACATGACACATTGTTTTCAACCAATCAGAACTTTCGTCTGTGGTAGGGCAGAATCTGGGTTGTTTAATGAAAGTCGTCCAATCCGGTTTACTAAGATTTGAAACAATTAGGGGATATAAAACAAGGCAACGCCATTTTATATTCAGTTCCATGTTAACCTCATTTCCGTTCATGTGGAGGTCCTAAGGATTTCCATCGTCATCATTAAGGAAGTTACAGCCTGGCCAGCTGTACTTTCTACTTTAAGCTGAGAACTGTCAAGCTGGAGATTTCCGTCGTTTGAACCAACGAGACGACGTTCCTTCAAAATAAGAGTGAACTTGTTGACACCTGCCGATGCTACCTGAGTCGACCCTTCAGACGGGCGTTGTGTGCTGTGACCGCTGTTTCAACCAGCTCCAGTACCTCTGACGGTCCGAGACCTGGCAATTCCTGATCTAACACGAGAGGCTCCACTGGGTACGTAAATACGGCAAAATGGCGGCTCATGTCATCAGCTTCTGAAGCCTCGTGGTAGCCTAGTCATAACAACCAGATTCGCTACGTCAGCCTAGAGATTCTGAACAACACACACACACACACCAACACTATAACATTCAAATCCATCTGCATTCATCATTGAGATAGTCCTGGTAGATTGTAAGAATTTATAATTATAGAAATTAAAGATTCTTAAACGATCCCAACTCTCTTTCTTTTCTTGTCTCTCAGTCAATACAGAGTCTTTAAGTAAACTCCCTGATGATAAAAACGACCACTTCTGATTAATTACTTAGATCTAATTACAGTGTATAAACATACAACTTCAGATCATTACACCACCATGTGTGATTAACAGGCTTCTGCAGAGATTGATAACTTGGTGAACAGGTGAATCAACCATTCAGTTAGGTGTGTTGGAGCTAAAACATGCAGGATAGAGGCACTCCGGGACCAGGATTGCCAATCCCTAGCTTAGACTGAACCATTTCTCCGTGGCCATTACAAAATGACTCATTTGAACAGGAAGGCAGGTCTGAGACAGCACAAACTTGTTGGTACGTTTAACAGCTCAAGCTGCCTACATTCAACAGCATGAAAAATGCAGTTTTGAATTTTAGAATGCCTTTAAAGTGAGAATAATAAACTATGTGAATGATGAAATTTTAGTAAATAACTAAATCAATGCCATCAAATACAGAAGTTTTGTTTTACAGTTTAGTAAAAGCTGTCATCATGAGAGTCTATAATTTCAGATAAGGACATTTATGTGCCGACAGTCAGTAGATGTGTGCACATACTTGAGAAGGGGTAAATCGTACAAACATGGGGAGAAGTGCTTTTGTCTCATGAGTGGGACACTAAGATAAGAGGTTCACTTGAATGAACACAAGACGTGCTTGTCAGCTCACTTGACAAGTGCATCTTAACCAAACACACCTGTCTGTGTTGGTTTTATCGTCCCACCACCAGCGGTGCGGTGTGTACACCGCACTGATTGGCCCGAGGCTCCGGCTGGGCCGTCCATCAACCTCAGATTATTGCTTTTATCTGGAGAACATCTCTGAATGAAACGCTGAGGCTTAGTGAAATGTTAAGCTGCACAAAAATGTGTCAGACAGGATTTAAAACGTTTATGATCCTTAACCCTGGTTCATTAGGGGAATATTAAAATAAAATTCAGATGGGCAAAAACATGGGGACACATGCAACAATTGAAGCTGAAAATTTATTTTTAAGTCAACTAAAAACTGTTAACATTTAATTGAAAGCTGTGCACACATACACTAATCTATGGTGACATATTGGAGACTACTCAGAAATAATGGGGATTTTTTTTCTTCCCTCCAGTTTTTAGATTAAAATCAAAATGTAAAAGTTTGGCTGGAAAAATGCTAAAATATTATATTTCTGAAATAAAGTTATTTTCTGGTTTATTGGGAAATGAAAAACTAAACCAGTTTACCCGGTAAAAGCTCACATAGGGAGGTTGGTAACAATAAAAATGAAATCTGGAACTCGGGTTATTATTGAATAAGTAGACTGACTATAATCTAGAAATCATATTTTGACCTTTCTCCTGAACCTTTTTAAATTTATTCTGAAAATATTTCCCTATTTTTCTTATTTCTGTTCATAATATTTTAAAAATCTTCCTAAACACGTTGACTTTATTCTGAATATTTTGATTATTTTTCTCATTTCACCAGATACTTTAACTGTGATTCTAGTGATACGGTTCAACATTTTTGTCTTTATTACAAAGCTGGCAAACAAAAATGTAAATACATTTATGTCTTCTCCTCTGAGTGGCCCTATTATAC